AGAGGTGCGGTTGCCAGTTTGAAGAGCCCATATGTGACCAGTCCATATTCTGTTCCACGCAGATTAAAGGCGTCGATCAACATATTCTGTCTCGTGGCCATCATTAAACAAACACAACGCAGAGGTAAAATACAACGGTACAAAGGAAGAGACGAGAACAGGGCCACTTCTAGCTGGACCGAGCTGAACAAACAGACGGCCAAGTTCAGCACGGTTACGGTTACAGAACCAGCTCCTTACGTGGCTGAACTGCTCCAGCATCTTCTGGCTGTGGGCCAGGTACGGAGTCATGAACTTGGAGGTGTCCACCTTCACCTTCTTCCTGACCCTCCTGGTGGGCAAGCCGGACTGCGAATGGGCAGAAAAACAGTCAACGATCCGCTCGGTTTTAGTGATCACAGGAAAACATATAAAACCCATCCTCCTCCAGTCACTCTGAGACGAATTCATCTGTATAATACAGTTTAGTGTATCATACAGAGGATCAAAAATATGGAACAGTCTTCCCACATCACTGACAGATCTTTCTGAAGAACTATTTAACCCTGTAATGCCAAATTGTAATGCCTTTTTTGCTTAATTTAATGGTAAAAACTTTGCTAAAAATCCTATTGTACACAATCAGATACACCTGATAACAGGGGGCAGAAGACTACACAAAAAATAATCTGGACTTATCGCATAGTAATAAATTATTAATATAAAAAATGTATTTCTGTTTTCTTTTTACATATTTTGTTAAAAGGCCAAATAAAGACTTCAAACCAAAAAATAGTAATTTTCTGTTTTGTTTTATTCTTGGATTGGGATTTAAAGGGTTAAACGGAGAGTAAAATTGCTGCTACTGAGTTATCTGAATTTTCCATATGGATTTGTGGTCTAAATTATATTCTAAATTGTTTTAGACAAAGACTTTTTTTTTTTTTACACAATATCAAATAGATGTTTGAAATTGTGAAATACATTTGTTTTTATGGAGACTGACACTCATTAAGTGGGTTTTTCGGCAGTTGTCCATCACATTTTTTTTCCATAATACTATTTTTATGTTTTTTTTGTGAAAATGCAATAAATAGATAAAAAATAAAAACTCAGATTTGTGCTCTACAGCCTTGTTTCTCCACCTGGGTCCTGAGGGCCCAAATACCTGCAGGATACCTGGAGCTGGGGAGCTGGGACTGTGAGGACCAGGGTTGAGAAACGAGGCTGTAGATTGAAGATGTACAAACCTCATGCTAGGTCCAGACAGATAACGTTTTTGTGCACATTCACACCTATAATTCTAATTGATTAGTTCGTTAGTTCATAGCAACGGCTCAGAGAAAGTCACGGTCACTTCTCCGTAACTTGGCTCTTACGTTTGAAAAAGAGTTATTTTTTGGTTGGAGGATTAGTTTTCATGCTTAGTTAGGCAGATCCTGACTGGGGTCAGTCCACTCAGGTCCACTCAGGGATGGGGGGGGGGCGTTTCCTGCCCTGCTGTCCCTTTGGGAGGGGGTTCTTTACCTGAGAGACCTGAGTCTTGTGCTCAGTGACAGTCCGCGTGGTTGTAGTCTGCTCAACATACTACAAATATAGGTTTTTTTTTCAAAAGCAAGTATGGGAGAAACAGCACAGTGTTTTTTTCGATTGAGGGTGATTTTTCCACAGCTCTGGAAGCTACAACACCTGTCCAACAACGAGCCCAACGGGGAACATCCAAACCCCATCTAAATATCTGCAAACGGCTCATCTGGATCATGTCATTAATCTGTGAGCGTCCACATGACGTAGTGGTGAAAACAGAGGATGGAGTATTAATATCCCGGTGCTTTGGGAGCCAGGCGGCTGTGGATCTTTGATCCTTGGACTACACTATAAACAGCAGGTGACTATAAATCTATTCTTATTTGTCCTTTCTGGGATCATCGCTCCGGTTAGGAGAGCTTCACCATCGTCGCGTCTGTTCTTAATTGGATTTTAACCCTATAATGCCAAATGTATCATATCTTATTAATACGGTTTCTGAAATGTTTTGCGTCTGACTCCTTTTGCTTAATTTAATGGTAAAAACTTTGCTCAAAATCCTGTTGTACACAATCAGATACACCTGATAACAGGGGGCAGAAGACTACACAAAAAATAATCTTGACTTATCGCATAGTAATAAATTATTAATATCAAAAATGTATATTTGTTTTTTCTTTTTACATATTTTGTTACAAGGCCAAATAAGGAATTAAAACCAAAAAAAAAAGGAATTTTCTGTTTTGTTTTATTCTTGGATCAGGCTTTAAAGGGTTAAGGCTTTAAAGGGCCGGTTCACCTTAAAAAGTCTTGGAGCAGGTCTGGTTTTACTGGCTGGATTTCGTCCAACATAACCTGAAATGATGGTCTGTTTACCGGGTAATAGTCCGATTTTCTCCAAAGCTTTGAATGTCTGAGTGTTCTGTAAAATCAGCATCAAAAAGCCTTAAACAGCTGATATCTGCTCTTTTAACTCGGCTTTAGGGACCGAAACACGGTCTGTAATCATAATCCAAACATCTCCTGAGCTTCTGAGTCATTAAGCCCCTCGTAATTTGCTTTCTTGTTTTGTTTAGTTTTTTTGGAGCCTTAAGGGGCAGAATTGGAGCAGGATTAATTTTGTGTTCTTGGAAAAATCTAAAATTTTCCAATAGTGTTTTACTATTAGGGAAATAATCATCGTCTCAGCCATTAAACTGTGTAGCTCTGCTGGAGATGATATTTATCAAATGGTTTAACCAAAGATTCTCTAGTTGTGTGTCTTCTTAGATAAAAAAGTTGTCGAGACCTTTCCTGCTTGTGTAAATACTTCAAAGCTCTACCTGTCCTAATTTTCCAGCAATAAAGAAACATCTACAGCCCTTAGTGGAGTTCGACATTACAAATAAAGAGACTTTACGACTAATACAAACCAGGAAATGTGCTTTATATCTAAGAGAACTCTAACCAGAGCTGAGGGAAAGAACATCTCAAACGCTTTGATCAACATTCGTAAGAGGCTTTGATATCCGGATCGATCAGACAGGAGGGAACCATAGCGGGGGGGGAAACTTCTGGGCCTGTAAAGTTAACCTGCCGGCTGATTTACGACGTTCTGACGCTGGGACCCGGCTCGGTTTCACTCCCTCTCCGAGCCCCACTAGCTCTCCCTCTTCTCCATCTCCACGTCAACTTCTAAATTTGTCTGGATGCCAGACGGAGAAACTTTCTGCTCCACCCGTTTCTAAACCAACCAGTTAAGTAACTACCATGTTACGATTAAGGGGGAAAACTGAATAAGAACCGTAGAAACGCACTGCTCTATGTTTCCCCCCATTCTGTCAATCGGATGAAAAGCCGTCTTACTTCTCATTGAAAAATGATGCAATTGTTCTCCACAGTATAGATGAAAGTGCTAGTGAAATCAGAGTGTATTGATTTTGGTATCTGCTCATCCGTTCCACCTCCCAATCGATTTGCATCTTTGCAGTAAAGATGGCAAATCTGCTAAAACTGTTGACACGTTATAAGGGAGCTAAATGATTCAGGTAAAGTCGTGTGAAAGTGGAGAGAAATCATTCAGGCTCCCCTATAAGATATCAGCAAATTGGGTATTAAAAAAAAAGAAACAAATACAAGGCTGACTTTAATCCTATTTCACCAGGAAATACGGGATTAAGTGTTAGCCTTCTGCTTTCACTCTTCCATCCGACACTGCTAGCGAGAGCATAAAAACAGACATTTCGTACACAAAAACAAAGCGGAAAACATTCGTAGGCTTCTCAGGGTGAGAGGTTAAATCATGAATCTGGAGAAGAATAGGACTGCAGGTCACTTAAAACAACAAACAGGAAAGAAAGTTCTGGAAAGCAAATCCTGTGAGAAGCTATCTTAGCTCGGTCTGAACTGTAAATAGGGATAATATCCAGGGTTGAAACGTCCACATTTGAACAAAAAAGTCTAATGTAACTGGGGTTTTTGGCTGTGGATTAAGTTCTGTATTGAACTTTTAACCAATCGGGTTTTGTCCTGTTGAAAATGGATACAGAGGACCAGATCCAGGAACTGCTGACAGGTAGGGATATCATCCCTAACTCACTATTCATAGGACACCGGTCCTATAAATCCATTTAATAACTGGTAACTACGTCATTTAGTCGAATAAATCCTAAACCTTACGTTTAAATGATAAAAGCCATGTGTTTAATTAATGTAAGCAGGTAAAAAAAAAATCCCTTACCTCTCCCACAATCTCCTCCTCCTCTTCCTCTTCCTCCTCCTCAAATTCTTCATATACTTCCGCCATCTTGGCACAGTCTTAAAAGCTCTACACAAAACAGAGATGACAGTTCAGGCTTTTAATGTTCTCGACTCCATAAAAGCATAATTCCTGCTCCATACGGGAAATTTACAGCCAACAGGGAGGCAAACGTTGGCTTTACTGCTCTTTGACTACCCAAAACACACTTTCAAACAGCTTCTAATCGTTTAAGATGCTAGTCCCACCTATATTGCTTCATAAAAGGGGATTAAAACATGGTGGATAAGTGTGATGCTCGGCCAATGGGCTCGCCATACCAGCAAAAGATTCCGGTTGTATTTCCTGACTGTGAGGAAAACTCGGGTCTCAGTCTGACTTCAACTCAGGGGTTTTTTTTGGGCCCGCACCTGAACGAAACGACAGAATTTTGTCAAACACGAAGCCAAAAAACCCCAGAAAATACAAAAAAACCCAAACTAAAACTCGGGTCTCAGTCTGATTTCAACTCGGGGTTTTTTTTTGGGCCCGGACCTGAACGAAACGACAGAATTTTGTCAAACACGAACCCAAAAAAACAACAAAAAATACAAAAAAACCCAAACTAAAACTCGGGTCTCAGTCTGACTTCAACTCGGG